AAAAAGTACTGGCTTCTTTTCCGCCCGCACCGCAGATACATATACGTTTTTATATCCCAGTTACCGAAGCTATATAGTAAGGTACGCTCTCGGCAGGTAGTTTAAACAGTAAGTACTGGGTGCTTCCTGCCCAGCTCAGACACTAGTACTTAGACATGATCGATAATATTTCAGTACCTATTTTGTGGAATTCTGTAAACAACCTATCTCAAATCTGAGCGCCATACCTCGTCAAGCTCCGCCGCCCTCTCCAACTCCCCTTTCTCCCCGCAACCCCATATCTTGGCCCTGAACCCCCCCCCCCTCTCCTCCCCCGCCCCATCCTCCTACGCACGGGCACTCGTGATCGGTAAGTTTTTCAGTGCTAAAGATATAATACACGGTGACCCAGTGTACCAAAATCATATTTTTGCTTGGGTGTCAGAGGGGAAAATTGCTGACCAAAAAAAGGATGAGTGAAAATTGTCGGTCAGGTAAGGCCCAAAAAGAGTGGGAAAATGATCAAAAACATTAATCTATCTACAGGGTGGGCCGAAATAAAGTACCTTGAAATTTTTGTCTCGTGCTTTTCAAGCGCACGTGCTGCATTTGTGATTTTTCGCATGCCGACTGCAAACCATATGGCAAGATAGATTATCAGAAAACTTCACTTGAAAAATGTGGTCCGACACACAAAAATCGTTTTGCGTTGAGACTTATGTCTTGACGAACTCTCTTGATGAGACCAGGCGGCAGTATCTAAAGAAGTTCGGTCTGGACCATCGGAGGCTCGACCTTGCACCGGGAAACAAGTCTATCCAGAAGTGGGTAGCTAAGTTTCGAAATTTCGGAACGGTGGTAAAAACCAAGCCGCCCGGGAGAGGTCGCACGGTCAGATCTGAGGCCAACATTCAACGGGTATCCGCCTCTACCCTTCAGAGCCCAAAAAGATCCACTCGGCGTCGCTCTCAGGCACTGAATATCAGCAGGACAACTCTGCGGAGAATCATGAAAGAAGATCTTGGACTGTACCCGTACCGGCTTTCAATACATCAGAAGCTACCATCATGCGACAGGGAGCGTCGGGTCGCCATGGCCGAGTGGTTCGAACACAACCCACGTGTGTTCAGCAAGCTGTGGTTCAGTGACGAGGCTCACTTCTGGCTGAACGGATATGTCAACACCCACAATGCTGTGCACTGGGGCAAGGAACCACCAGATGAGGTCCTCTGCAGGCCTCTTCACTGCGAGAAGGTTACGGCGTGGTTGGCGATGCGGCACGGCGGGGGAACTATCGGTCCCTTCTTCTTTGAAAATGAAAACGAAGTGGCGACAACGATCAACTCTGCTCGCTATGTCAGCACAGCGCTGGAGCCGTTCTGGAGAGAACTCGGGGAGAGGCCACTCAGGCGTAACCAAGAGTGGTTCCAGCAGGATGGTGCCACACCCCACACTGCTTGCGCATCGATGGATTGGGTTCGAAGTCACTTCCCGGATCGACACATCAGCCTGAAGTCGGCCGTTCCATGGGCCCCTCACTCTCCTGACCTGAGTCCCCTGGACTTTTTCATGTGGGGATATCTTAAGGACCGGGTATATGCGGGAAGACCGGCAACCACTCACGAGCTCAAGACCGCCATAGTCCAGGAGGTGGACCGTATCCCCGCTGACATGGTCGACAAGGCCATCATCCATCTCAAGGAAGTTCGTCTGCCGCTGGTGAAGCAGCGCCGCGGTGCCCACCTGGAGCACATCCTGTGAGGTGTGAGCGGCTGACAGATGCGGACAATAGTGCGCAGTGAGTTTTGCCATTTCATTGTAATTCGAAATATACCTGGTTTACCATTGTACCATTGTAAATATACATGTTATCGAAAGAAAACTGAAGGTACTTCATTTTGGCCCACCCTGTACAATTGTGACAGATGTAAAACAACCATTCCCGCAATTGCTCCTTCTCGGTGGGATTGGGAGTGGAAAATTGGGCTTGAAAACTGGAGGTGAGAGTGGAAAATGATTTGCATTTTGATGTCGTTTCCCACCCACATCTACAAATTTTGGGACACTGCGGTGACCCAAAATCAACGTCACATCCTTCCACAACCTTTATTTTGCCTAGTACGGCGTAATTTTAATATAATTTCGGCGTTACTTGCTCCTAGAGATCATATTGGCTGCATTCTAGTCACGTGACCTTCGAATTTTTGTGGCCCTGACTGGTCAAGTGGTTAACGGAGGCTATTTTCGGGGCAGTAGCCAGGGCGAGCGGACCAGGTGTCCGGGATGGCAAAACTGCACAGCAGATTGTCTTGCAACGGGGCAGTCGGCATAGTTGCCGGCGGCATGGCCCACAGCCAGGTCGCCGAGGCACTGGGTATGAGTTACCGCACGATTTGGCGCTGGTTGTCACGTGACAGAAGCGGATAGACGCCTGAGAACAAGCTAGGTCGCGACAGGAAGATTTCCGCCTGTCGGGTAGCGCAGATCATTATCGCTAAGTGTGGAGCTTAAGACGGGCAAATCCAAAAGGAAACTGGCAAGCAGGCTGACTGCTAACGGTCATCCAGTTTCCAAGTCGACAAGCCATCGGTACCTGAGGTTGTCTCTTAAGCTGAAGCCCACCAAGCCACGCTGTGATGTGTCGGGCGAAAAAACGAAATCTCTCACGCACTTATGTATGTGTGGTTTCTGCAAAACACAGAACAACCCATCATCAATTGCCAGTCGGTGTGCAAACATGACAATATAACAGCTTTATGAAATAAAGGACTAAATAAAGAAACGATTTAGATCCATCAGATTTATCCAATACAATTCATGGGTCCACTATAATCCATTAAACTATTAGAATAATTTAGATCCGTAACGAAAGATCCATTTAGTACCAAATCACAGTAACATTTCACGATAATGTGATCATTGTGTCATCTATATAATTTCTCATCGAACTTTCCCGCATTTGCCTCCACGACACATATAGCAGTGAAAGAAAGCCACGCGGCTGAAGGACACGCCGCACATCGATTGCCACCATGCGTCAGCTTAGTCTCCAAAAGCTGCCAATTTTCAGAGCTGCAACACGAAGGTACCACAAAAATATCTACCGACAAAACTGCGCAGATGGCAGCACACGTCAGGCGCACCTAATCACTTGACGCGTCAGGCGCACCAGATGTCGCCACTAACACGCCGCTACCCGACCACCGACACGCCGACACGGCGCAGGCCAACCCGCTCGTCACATCATCCCCCCGGTGTTCGGCCGCGAACACCAAACACTGAGACGAGCAGAACGCAGGTTAAGGCGGCGTGCCATCGCCACTGATACGCTCACACGCACACGCCGCTGTGCGGAGCCACTAACCACTGCAGCCTGGTCTAGTCAGGTACCAAGGCCCATGTTCAGTGTTCACTTTCCGTCGTCGCAGGCCGCAGCTGCCCCGCGCCGCGACAACTGCTCGTCGCGGCAGGTCATCACTGCAGCTGCTCCTCGCTGCGGCAGCTCCCCGCCGCGGCAGCTGCTCATCACCACGGCAGCTCCCCGCCGCGGCAGCTGCTCCCCGCTACGGCATCCGCTCCTCGCCGCGGCAGCTGCTCCTCGCCGCTGCAGCTCATCGTCCGGACAGCTCCTCGTCGTCGCCGCAGCAGGAACGGTCAAGGAAGCTGCAGGGAGAAGACGAGGATTCCATGAGGACATTGCAAAAGGACTGAGGACACAGACACAGGACAGCCACACGCACACACAAGTCCTTCCAGCGCCCTCAGTCAGCTCAGTCTACCCCCTCGAGGAAGCAGATCTTGTTAGAGGGCCTCAAGTACGTCGCTCCTGACGCCGTCTGGACCTTTACGGCGCGAACAGTCCCATCAGCGCTGGGCACAACTTCCACCACTCTTGCCAGTGGCCAGTAACCGCGTGGCGAACTCTGCTCTACCATCAATACGAGGTCCCCTGTTTTGAAGTTGGGTGTTGGTCGCGTCCACTTCTTTCTGCCGATAAGCAGAGGCAAGTACTCTTTTTGCCATCTTCGCCACAGCTGATTGGCTAGGGCCTGTGACTGCCGCCATTTTCCACGCCCACATCTGTCGTTGTCGGAAAATCTGCCTGGCGGTAGGACGGCTTCGGGATAGCCTAAAATGAAATGATTGGGCGTCAGAGGTTCTGCGTCGTCGATCTCAGCGCTGGCGTAGGTCAGAGGCCGACTGTTCAGGAGAAACTCTACCTCTAACAGGGCGGTGTGCAGCACGTCCTCCGGTACGCACTGGTTGCCCAGTACAACTCGTAACGTCCTTTTCACCGAAGCCACTAAACGCTCCCAGACTCCCCCCATGTGGCTGGCGGTGGGGGGATTGAACCGCCACTCTATGTTTTTCTGTGCAAGTTCATCAGTAATTTGGGCTTGATTCCACTCTTCGAGACAGGTTCTCATCTCCTTCTCACCCGCCACCAGGTTCGTCCCGTTGTCCGATAGAACCATCCTTGGTCGTCCTCGTCGAGCCACAAACCTTCTGAAAGCCATGAGAAAACTGTCCGTTTCCAGCGAGGCAGCGAGCTCCAAATGCAAGGCACGAATGGACAGACAGGTGATAAGTAGCACATATCTTTTCTCGGTTTTGCGGAACTTCTTGATCGTAAGAGGACCAAAGTAGTCAATTCCCACACAGGCGAAGGGTCTCGACATGTCAAACCTGCTCGAAGAGAGATCAGCCATGATCGGTGCTTGCGGTTGGGCTCGCCTATTCCTGCAAAAAGCACACCTGTAGACGAGTTTCCTCACTGCTGATCTCGCCTTTGGGATCCAATAGCTGAGACGGACTTCGCTCAGAGTGTGTTCTATCCCTGAATGGAGAACGCGCTTGTGAACATCAGTGAGTATTAGTCTAATGATGTCATCCTCACCGACGATGAGAGGATATCTGGAGGACTCAGGCAGGGGCGAGTTGAGGAGACGCCCCCTAGCACGGAGGAGTCCTCGCTCGTCGATGAAAGGGGAGAGCTGTTGCAGAGAGCTCCCCGCAGGCAGTCAACCATCAGAGGAAATAGCCGCCAGCTCCTTGCCGTATACAGCACGCTGTGACTCTTTGAGGATCATCTCTTCGGCGTCCCTGAGTTCGGGAGCTGTGAGGGGGCCCGCCATGCGTGTTCCCGTGCCGGCCTTGCATCGGGTGTTCTTCACGAACCGGAGGGCCCACGCCACCACACGCTTGTACCGCTGCCATGACGAGTAGCGCGCTGGGTCTGGCAGCGCGCCACCGAAGACACACATCGTGAAGACCGCCGTACGGGTCTTTAGTTCAGGTAGTTCTGCGTCCTGGACCGCACTCTCAACCTCTTCTTCAGGCCATTCCTCGCGGTCACGTGCCACGAAGCCTGGGCCTTCCCACCAAAGGTCGCACTGCAGGAGGTCGCATCCTGAGAGGCCGCGGGAACAGAAGTCAGCAGGGTTACACTGACTGGGCACATGGTGCCACTGGTCCGGTTCTGACGAGTGTTGAACTTCAGCGATTCGGTTCGAGATGAAAGTGTGAAATCGCCTGCTCTCGTTCTGCAGGAATCGTAGCACCACTGCGCTGTCTGTCCAAAACAACGTCTCATCGATGTGGTAAGTAGTCTCGCGTTTGATGAGGTCTGCCAGTCGTACTCCCAAGACAGCTGCCTGCAATTCAAGCCTCACAATCGTCAGTTGTTTCAGCGGAGCGAGTCTCGTACGCGACATGACGAAACAGGTCATGTGTCCACCTGAAGACGAGAATCTGAAGTACGCAACCGCTCCAAATGCCGTCTCAGACGCGTCACAAAAGACGTGTAGCTGGCAACGGCGCTCTGTTCCAGCTTCGTTGGCATCCGTCTTGTAGCATCGAGGGATCTTGACCCACTCCAGACAAGGCAGGTCAGACAACCACCTGTCCCACTCCACCAGCTCTTGGTCAGCCAGCGGCTCGTCCCAGGCGTACTTCGTTGCCCACAAGCGCTGAACAAGAGCTTTGGCGCGCAGCACGAAAGGAGAGACTAGTCCCATGGGGTGGAACACCATCGACAGTCTGCTCAGGACTCCTCGCTTGGTGGCTGGTTGGCTCATGTTGGTTAGTTTCACGCCCAGAACATCCTCTTCAGGCTTCCAGACACAGCCCAAGGCCCGCTGGGTACCCTGGCCAAGGCGAGCAAAGTCCAACCCGTCCTCATACGCCTGCTTGAAGGCATCTTCTACCGCTTCTGGTCGGTTACTCGCCCACTTCGTCAGGTTGAAGCCTCCTTTGGCCACCAGTCGCGTCACCTCCTCTTTGATCTGTCTGGCCCGCTTCACATCTGGCACTGAAACCAACATGTCATCCAGGGGCGTAACTTTGTATACTTTTGGGGAGGCAGGTGCCCCCCAACTTGAAATTCTGCCACCCCAACATTCCGTTTGCCCCCCCCCCCAACCTTGGTGGGCGCCCCTTGGCCTGAAAGGCGCCCTCACGGGCCAGCGGCGTCATAGGAGCGCGGGCGCCATCTTTCAAGGGGGCGCCATCGCCTATGAAAATGGGATGCGTGAGAGGGGAACCTCTGAGACCGTGGGGCGCCTGCATGCGAAAGAGGGGCGCCCATGAAGTCCTCAGGGGCGCCTCAATGCAAAACACGGGCGCCTGAGATGGCCACAGGGGCGCCTGCATGCGAAAGAGGGGCACCTTATTGGCCTCTGAGGCCCTTCGGGGTGCCTCTGAGGTCTATAGTTTAGGGGCGCCCACATGCAAAAGGGGCGCCCATTAAGGCCATAATGGCGCCCCAATACGAAAGAGGGGAGACCGCATGCCAAATGGGGGCGCCTCCGAGGCCCATAGAAAGAGGAGCTCCTTTGAAGCCCAAAGGGGCGCCTCAATGGGAATAAGGGACGCCTGTGAGGTCTATAGGGGCGCCTCTGATGCCCATATCGAGAGAGTCGTTTGTGTAACGTTCCTCAGGGATGGTGCGCCGCTTGCGGCAAGTAAATACTTAGCTAAATAGCGTGCCCCATTGGTCAAAAAGCGCCCCTCGAGCCAAAGTGGTGCCCCTCTGACAACACGCACGTCTTACGTCATCTGTTTTGCTAATAACTAATGCCCCCGCACGCAGAGCGGCGCCCCATCCGTTTATTAATGTGACCCTTCAGGTGGATGAAGCGCCCCTCTGGCCAATACCTTGTCATCATTGTTGCTAGAACAGCGCCCCTAGTCCGTAGACTGCCCCATTGCAATTGGCTCCTGAAGGTGCCAGTTTTGGCGCCCCTCTGCACTGAGTAATGAAATGTATGTGGCCTACCAATTCTTAAGGGCGCTCCTTGAGTTATCACGCTCCTCGGGGGGGGGGGGGGGCTAGAGGGCCTAGATGCCATAGCACGCTAGTAGTGCTATGGCATCCCTGCTGCTAAAACGGCACACTTAGCTAGGTTAGCGCCTCAACGGTTCATACAAGCGCCCCTCAAGCCGAAATTAGCGCTCCTCTGACTTACATAATTTCCTTGCTAAGTACGACGCCCCTCGCTGAGCTGGCGCCCCACCATTTTATCAACGCGCCCCTTTAGCCACATGAAGCGCTCCTCTGGTCAATGCGGTCAATACCTTATGTCATCACTGCAGCTAGAGCGGCGCCCCTATTTCGGTGGCTGTTCCATCGGTTCCTGAAGGCACCCCTCGAGACAGTTTGGAGGCCCATCTGCAGTGAGTATTAAAATTGATGTGGTTAAAAATGGCGGCCTCTGCACGGTGTCGCACCGATTCTAAAGGGCGCCCCTTGAGTCCATGTAATCGTCCCACAGGGCCTTGTGTGTTATGGTATCCCTGCTGTTAAAGCGCCACTCTTGCTTGGCGTAGCGTCCCAACGGTTCAAAAAAGCACCAATCGAGCCAATGTTAGCGCTCCTCTGACTATACTGGTATCCTACGTCATCTCTTTTGCTAATTACGGCTCCCTTCGACCGAAAGGGCAGTGTATCAAGTTTCAACAAATCGATGTAGGACTCTAGTTTTTATGAACAAAATAGTGCATTTTAGTGCTATTTTGACAATGTATCGGTTTTGTGACCTTGTGACATGACCTTAGGTCACTGGAAGCTAAAAGTTCCAGGTCAAGTGACAAATAGATCCCCGAAGTTGTATCTGAAATTTGGTAGCGATACGTGCCATAGCTAATTACGGCCATAGCTAATTACGTACCATTGCTAATATTTTGCTAATTCATCATCATCATCATCATCATTTATTTCGTTTGGAAGCTCCATGCACTCACGGCTTTTCAGTCCAAGTGTCATACAGTAAATAGGTAGGCACATATATAAAGCTAAAATAAACACTAAAGCTAAAAGTAAAACCATGAAAAGCATGGGACTTAAAAAGTAAAATGCATATCGGTACAAATGACCGAAAGCTAACGGGTGAGCACTTACTTTTTGCACAAAAAATTAGTTTGCATATCTCCGGTGTATTTTGAGATAACATTACCAAACTTTCAGCACAGGATGGCAGCATCGCTATGTACCTGCCATCACTAGTGCAGGGCCGTTGTGACACCGTTGCGCTTTGCAGCCCGCACGCGCTTCGGGACCGCCCTCATCATGCCGTGCACCACCTCCAAGTCAATCTCTTGCAGAGCTTGACGTATCCGCCTCTTCAAACCCTCGTCACTCTTTGCTGACCAGCCACCTTTGTATACCCTCTGCTTCATGAGACCCCAAAAGTCCTCGATTGGCCGCAGTTGGGGGACGTTGGGGGGATTCTTCTCGCGGGGTACATACCGCACGTGCGACCGGTCCAGGAGTTCCAGGGTCTCACGTGCGTAGTGCGAGGCTGCCAGATCCGGCCAGAACACATACCCTCCATGGGGGTAATGTTGTGCCAGAAAAGGCAAAAGTTCGCCCTTGATGCACTTCTCCCGGTACACAGCACCGTTAACATTTGCGCGACTGGGGGTGATTACCGGCCGGGAGATCCCCCGAGGGGATATGGCCACCCACACTAGAAGTTTCCGCGGGAACTTGCCTGTGGGTCGATGTTTCACATCTTCTGGCGCGTCTCCACCAGGGCCAGCGTAGTAACCCTTGTTGGCTGGCATCTCACTGCCCTGATAGGTGAAATAACTCTCATCGTCCATCACCACCTCGAGATCCGCGTCCGTGTTGAGCACTTCACTCGCCAACCGTCGTATCCGGATCTTTTGGGACTTTCGCTGCTCCGGTGTAGTACTTGGGGCCTTGGTCCTTGTCCGGTATTTCAGTCCTTCCTCTGCTAGGATTTTTCGGACATAACTTTGGGAGATACCGAAGCGGCGGGCAAGAAGGCGCGTTGACACCCCCACGCGATGGCGGGCCGCGAGGACTAGAGCACGTCTCTTCTGCCGGAGCATCTTGACCACAGGTCGGCAACTTTTTCCCGTGCTGGCATGCGTAACATCTCCTCTTGCCTCCAAGTTTCTTATGATATTGTAGGTTGTCCTCTTCGCCACACCCATTTTTAGAAAATGGCTCACAATGTCACATTTTCGAAAATTGGGGTGGTTTTTGACAAATTCTGCCACAATACTACGGACACCTGACTTGGTTAAGCCCTCCATGCTTAATGATTTCATATTTCAGAAATTTCAAAATCCGCGTGTATGTTATATTCCTATTGGTCTTTCATTGTGGAAAATTTCATGCAAATCTCATTTAAATTGGTGAGACTGCAAGCGAATTACAATTGTGCAGAAAGTAAGTGCTCACCCGTTACGCGCACAGTGACTAGTCACCATTGAGTAATCGTCGACAACGCCTGCGACAAGTGGCCGACGTGCGTGACGACCGAATGTCTGCTGGCAGCGAGTTCCAAACGTCACAGGCGCGGTAATAAAAGAACTTGCGAGCATGTTCGGTGCGGACCCTCGGCAGTTCGAGCTGCATATTCTCAGTGGCTCGAGTCTGTCTGCTCGACACGTCGCTGCGTTGTACAAACCGCTCAGAGAGGCACTTCGGTGCGTGAACATTATTCAACAAGTAATGCACAGTACCGCAGTCATTCTCCGCCACCAGCCTGTCTATATGGGGCCAGCATAGCTCTGCCAACAGAGGCGTCACATGAGCCGAGCGTCGGACTCCCATGACGACCTGTGCACAGTGGTTTATCACCTTCTGAATACGGTGTCGCTGCACGACGCCACATCCCGACCACACAGACATACAGTATCGGATGTGGGGAAAAATTAACATCTCCACGATCATCTGCTTCACGTTTCGCGGCAGGCCGCGAGCGGATCTGGACAGTCCCCCTAGTGTGGCATAGCATCGGCGGATAACCGCGGTCACATGCGATTCAAAAGTCAGTCCGGAGTCGACTACCACACCGAGAATCTTGGTCGCTACGGATGGACGAATCGTCGCACTACCGCACTACAAGTAATGCACAGTACTGCAGTCATTCTCCGCCACCAGCCTGTCTATATGGGGCCGGGGCTTCGACCGAAAGGGCAGTGCCTCAAGCCTCAACAGTTAATCAACTTGCCCCTGGTGCCAGTTGAGGCGTCCCGTGGTTCACACCTTATGTCATTGTTGACTTGTTGCTAGAACAGAGACCCTTATTCAAGAAGGAGAGCTTTCCCATTGGTTCTTGAAGACGCCCCTTCAGACTCTTTTGACGCCCATCTTTAGAACGTAATGACATTTATGTGACATTACTCTTGGCAGCATCGTGTTCCTCTCGTCGAGACGCGTCGAATGAACTATTTGTTGACCTTGAAAGGTCATTTTGAAAAATTGACCTCAGGTCAAGGTCATAACCTGACCGAAAAGGGTCATGTTGCATATCAGTCGATCCGTATCGTCGAGCTGAATACATCTGACATGTTTTCATCGCTCTAGCACGTCTTTATCAAAAGTTATAGCCAAAAAACTGGTGGTGACCGTTCATGACCTGAGATGACCTCAGGGGCATACAGAGGGGTCACAGATGCATTTTCCGATTCAGTGTGTCATTTTTACCTATGTACCGATGTTTGAGAGGGTTCTGAATACCATTCGTCCAAAAAAGGCGCATTTCAATTTTCTCCCATTGACTTATAATGGAGTGGTCGCAAAATTGACCTGACCTTAGGTCACCGATATCAAAATTCCGAGATATATGTTTTGTACATACTGCTACTCTTATCAATCACTGAAAGTTTCAAGGCGATCGTTTAGTCGGTGTAGCTATGACGAGGATTGCAACTTTTTTTCTGAGGTGAGGTCTTTTGACGTGACCTGGTGACCTGACCTTGAGAGCCCTGGGTCCAAAATTTGCACAACATGTGTAAAAAAGATGCATGAACAGGTGTGCCAAAAACAGCGGCGCTCCACGCCGCCGTT